TTCCAGCTTAGACATCATGCCCACTGAGTGTGAGGTTGTGGGAATCCAAGCACCATAACTATATAGCAACATGTAGTAATTAGTGCCAGGAGCACTCATGTGATGTGCTTTGGTACGTAAACTGGTTTTAGGAGACAAATTGTTTTTTAAATTGTAAACATGACATTTAACTTGACCCTTTCCCTGAATCAAACGATTATGCCATGCATGCAAACTATTTATGATTTATTTCAATTACTGTAGTTCATGTTTTATAACTCAATACTACCTCACTTTGGGAGGCATGGCTTCAGGGTGGCTCTACTTTCGACATCTTGTAATTTCGTTACTTGCTGATAACAGTTTATGTAACTTAGACCATTTTTGTATCTTGTTTAGACACGTTACTGAGAACTATACTGCTGGGAAACTGAACACCAAAATATATGGAGCACACAGAAGAGAGGGCTGTTGGGCTGGAAGAGGGGGGGAAAAGGACAGCAGGATTTGGCTTCAAATAAGGACTTCCTAAAGAGAGGCACTTGGGAGGTATGTGTTTAGACTTCCTTTTTATTTTTCTTGCAAAGATCTAAGGAATGCTATCTAGAGACGAGACTGTTTGGGAGGGATGTGTATCTAAACGTTTGGGGTCCCTGGTCATTGACATGGTTATTCACAAATCTAAATTATCAGGACACATGACTTGTCATGCACAAGTAGTTGGGCTACTGCTTTAGTCTATTGCAAAAGGGGATTTTGAAAAAAATGTCCACACCCCTAAGTATATGCAATATGGGGGTTTCAAAACTGCAAATTCTGTTTTCCTGCTATTCTATGTGCAAACTGACTGAGCATCTAATCCACAGTGTAGACTTGACCAGGTCAGTATGTCAATCTGGGAAATCGGTTTGAGGGCAGCCATTCAGTACATATTGTAAACACTGGGGAGACCCACCAGGAAGGATCCATGTAGACACTGGAGTTCTGTATATAAATATGAACTAACAAATTTAACAAAGTCAGGCCTGCATCAGATGCAGGTGATGTTTTGTGCGCGAGTGCTATTTTATTTGTACCCTTGTGTATGAAGGAAACACGATCCCTCTGCCTCATTACTTCCTAAAGTGTGGAGTAGTCTCCTGCTGTGCAGAGCTTCTAATGTCTGCGTTAGTCTGGGAGCACAGCCAGGAATGACACACTCTGCCTGGCACAGAGCGGGCCAAGCAATGAGAGCAGATCTGAGCAGGGAAGCAGGGATTTCCCAGGAAATGTCATGATATAGGAGCTGCTATGCAGAGCGAATCCATAATATGCTGAGGCGTTTATGGAAAACTGTACCAAGGCTTAATGCATACATCCTACATATAGATCTGTCTTCTCGTGCACAGCTCACAGGAGTTTTTTTTTATACAAAATACAATGTTCCCAATGGGCATCCTGTGATACAGACAGCTGGTATTAACTTGTGACACTAGAGCACACAATGGGGTTATGTATAAAGAGTGGTGTTTACATTTTAGGCTGTGCTTCTGTTGCATTGCCTAAATGCTGGAATATTCATAACTGCATCAGTACTCTTATCACTTTGTTTTTATATTTTTTTTGTGGATTACCCCTCATCTTTACTGTTTATTACGTCCACAAAACTAGATACTCATGAGGTATGTAGGGCAAAGAGAAAAATCCAAAAGAGGCTTAAAGGACCAGTAAATACAGACAGACCACTTCGATGGCCCTGTAACTTTAATCTTTCAATGTAAAACCTGGCTGTTCTGACACCTCCATGTTAACATTGATGGGTTAAATGCACATCTAGTAGCTGTCTTCCTGATGGCCATTAGTGGCGCTTCCAATTCCAGACCAGTCTAACTTTCAATCACATGCTGTCATAGAAGAGCCTGACCATTTGCTGCACATATATAAATCGTCCAATTCCTTTCTGAGACGTGCTGGATTGGACGGAGAATGTGGGAGATGTCAGCCGGAATGGTGATTGATGCTGAGCGCGTAGCTGCAGCAAAGGTCTCCACACTGGAAATGAGGTAAGTAAACCTTTATCTTTGTAGCAGCAATGGGGATGGATAGAGGTCACAACCGTAAAAGGAAACTTTGTTAAATATTCCCTTAAAAAGTGGCAAATGCATTATTTTGGTGCATTAGAGATCATGAGGATAAAAGCACAAAATGGTGGAGTTTTAAAAAAAAAAAAGTGGCAGATGTCCATATCATGATATTTTGGAAATGTGCAGTGTATGGGAACAGGGTAAAATGACAATACAGGTCTATCTGATATGCTGTTAATGTGGCAAAATTGTTCCAGCATGCAAAAGCAGGTTAGCTTGAATTGGCTTATTTCCACTTAGAATGTGACCACAGCACATGTTTGGAGGATAATATTGCTGTAAGCCTCCAGGTGTTTAAGTGGGTATCACTCTGCACAGCATAGGTCTCTTATGTACTTTTAAAATTCATATTTATATAAAGTGCAGAATAAGAGTACATTGTAAGAAAAAATGTGAGCAAGAAAGGGCTCAGTGGAGTATGGTAAAATTACTGTTCTAGATTAGTTTCGGCTTGCACAATATCTAATGGGTTCAAGGTTTTATTTTGTACCTAGCTCTTGATGTCTGTTCTAATCACACTAACACATAGGTAATGGGTGTGTGACAGCTGCCAGTCTTGGCAATGTGTAACGGAGGCTGGCCATGAAGTGGCACACCATAAAATCCTAAGCTACAAACCTACACCTTAAGTACACAAGAAATGGATCAGCACTAATATATCAGGGGGTAGGCAGCAACCGCAACAAAGGTGATCCCTCTCCCCCTTTCACAAAAACTGAAATGTACAAAGATGGGGGGGGGCTGCACCACAGGGAGTAATGGAATATAGTAAATAACAAAGTCCAGTGGTATAAAAACCTTTAGGTTCACACAAGATGGAAACACAAATCTTTTCTCCTTTTGGAGGTTGGAAGCAGCAGACTAGCCTGTCACTGAGTACTGGAGTGCAGAGAGCTGCTAATAAACAAGAAATCCAAGGTGGGTATCATACCACCAGAGCAGATGCCATCGAGCAGTCAGCCTGCTCTGTGTGTATTTTTTTTTTTTTTTCATCTGGTGTGAACCTAAAGGCTTTCTTTTTATACCACTGGACTTTGTTATTGACTATATATTGCATTACTCCCTGTGGCGCAGCCCCTATCTTTCTTTAAATCTACACCTTGTTTGTGTTGACTGGATTAAAATTATCTGGGAGTTGCAGATGAGCATCCTGGAGATGGTTCTATTAAATAAAACATTGACTTTTAGGTGAATACTATGCTCTAGTTAACCTTTAATCTTTCAAAAGATCTGAGATGTCTATACTACATTAGATAGGAAAAACTAAACCCCTAACACAAAAAAATCTATTTGCAGAGATAGTGAGTGATACTCTAAAGTGCCAAAACAGAAGAAGCAGCTCAACACCAGTGGAATACCCTTATCCACAGTAAAGTACAAATATTCCAGAAAAGAGGTATAGCCTCTATACCAACAGGTGGAGTGCTATAATGGGTATAAATAATAAGGGGGTACACTCACCCCTCCAGTACCATGACAATCTTGAAAGTATATATCTGAATGTACACACAAAACGGCAAAAAGAAAATATAGTGCAGGTGGCTTACAGAATAAGGGTGAGTGATAGTAATAAATGGCTAGAACCACTCACATGGGCTGGAGCCTATATGGTATTGCCTCTGTAAGGAACTCCCTTTTGCTGCAGCAACACACCCCTTTGTCCCAAACTGTATTCCTCCGGGGTTATAGAGCAAAAAAGAAACCAGATATGTAGTGCTGTATGGACGATGGCTATAATATTGGTGATAATGGTCATGTTCACCTTAAGCAAAGCCTTGGATTCACGGCTGAGGTTGATTGGCAGTATGCTAATTTTGTTGGGATAGCATTCGCCACATGAGGTTCCTGGCGGCTAGAAAGGACATGGTGTTTGGTGCGTGCTGGCGGTGTCACCCTGACTGGTCGCTGTTCGTGGCTGAGGAAGGCTGTGATCGCGGCTCAGCGCTGACAGATGGCGTGTCCACTGACCAAATAATAAAAACCTGCTTATGTAACACTGTAGGCAAAAATAATGGGTAGTAATATACTACTTTTTTCCCTTGAGCAGCCTAGTGCCAGTCCTACTCCCTCACTCCTGGGCAACACATTAGGTGTACCAGAATCAATTATCTTAGTAATATACTGTAACAACCCTTGGCTGTTATGGTATCCTCTAATATTCCTGGGAGTCTGTTTGTTAGGTGTTGCATTTTATTTTTTCAGTTGTATAATTTGTGTGATGGGAATTAACCTGGCTCAATATCAAATTTTTACAATTTCAAGTTTTGGTCCCCACCATATATGTATCTGTATCCCTAAATTCTATGTGGTAGCCCTACAGTCAGTATAGAGAACTAGTGTCTGGGTGTAAGGGCCAAAAACAAGTGGTTACCTTTTTATAATCTAAAGTCAACATTGTTCAGCTAGGCTTAATCACTTTCTGAGTCACACAACTGAGGAGCTAGACCTAAAACCATTAGACGGGAAGCCAAATTGCAGTGGTGAACGTGTCTTTTCTAATTTAAGGTTAATATTTAACAAATGGTTTTTAGTTTCCTTTATGTAGTGGGTTTGGCATCTGAAATCTCAGTTTGAACGTGTTTTTTTGTTTTTGTGGTAGATGTTCTGTATGTGAAATGTGACTTTGAGTATAACATTTTCAGAAAGTTGCCTGCAGGCTTCTATATTAAATATGCATATTAAAGCAGGGCTAGGTAACCTTCGCCACTCCAGGTGTTGTGGACTACATATCTCAATTATTTTCCAGCATTATGGCTGTCAGATCAGTATTGTAGATGTAGTCCACAATATCTGTAAGGTTGCCAACCCCTGCACTACCACTCTATCTAGCATTTACTTATTAGATTTTATTTTTATTTTACCCCTCAGATTTAAAGTCAAAGGTATCGACGCAGAAAAATGGAGGTCTCAAAGTACAGCCATCAGCGCCAATCCTTACTTGATGCCATCCATCGCTTCAACACAGCTACAACCATAATGGACGAAACTATTATGGTGCCTAGCATGCTGCAGGACATGATTCCAGAGAGAGAGGAAAATGAAGATCATTCCAAGTCTACAGAAATTATTGAGCACAATAACCTGTATGATTCATATATTCTACTTAAATCTCTGAGACATGATATGAAGTGGGGGATCAATCAAGCATGCAAGTCTACAGAGGAGCAGTGTGCTGAGGAAGAAACTGGTGACCTCGTAGAACAATTTCAACATCACTTTCGGGGTCTCCTGTCTGTCCTTACGAAGCTCACCAAAAAGGCGAATCTTCTGACCAATTGTTACAAGAAGGAAATTGAAGTTAACGCTTCAAGTAACAAACACTTTTCTAGAAGTATCTCTTATTAAGGCTTAATAGTCCACATTTCAAAAGAAGTTAAAATTTAAGTGACCTTGTAATTCAGGAAGTCCTCAGTTTTTTGCCATACTCCTAATCTGCCTTTTGTTCTCGTACTACAATAGACAATGCCACATGTGAAGGTGGTAGCTTTGTCAAATACTGGCATGACGGTGGAACAGACCTCTGTGAGGAAACTTGTTGCACTTGTTTTTGAGTAGTAGATTCATAACCTGAGATTTTTTGTTTGCATTTTACCTGCACACAAGCAGTGACTATTGCTAAAGGGATTAAGACCACTTTAAAAAGTGGAAGGCAAGACTTTCTGAAACGAATACAACATGAAGGTGTTGGAAAAAGTGCTAGGTGTTTAGTTTCTCAAGGAAACCTACCAGGAGTAAACTTAACATGACTAAGAATGGATGTGCTGTCAGTTACTCTCAATTGCCCAAGGAATAAGCCCATACGAACCATTTAAAATGAGAATATGCATTAATTGAGTCTTTAATAATGTTAACTGCATTTGATTTGTGTGTCGCTCTATTAAAACCCTAACTCTGCTATGCAGTCACTTCTTGCAAATCCTGTCTTGTTCAGCTGCATCGCTTTCTCCCAGTCTAAAGAGCTGCAATTCTACAGATGTTCCAAATTCTGAGCATTAAAACTTTTGAACTCCTCCAGGTCACTTTCAAACTCTGTAAACATGCAGTAACCGAAATCTGTCTAGCAACAGCTGTTTCTAAGTAGCTATGGTAATATTTTTCTGCTCAGGAAACCAATAAAACACAACCTTTCCTGACTGCCCTCGTTTGATTGGATGGGTGAGCCATGCCCTTTCTTATCAGCCTCAGACACTTGTCTTAACTTTTTCTATTTTCACTTGTTTACGCTGTATTGTTTCTTTGCTATTCTAGTGACAGGAAAAACTACTTCAGTTCTTGGTTTTGTATCTGATGTAAATGGCTGCAACTAATCTTTCACTTAATAGAAGGGTGAGTGATCTCCAAAAAAGTAGATCTAAAGATGTTGATCGTGCATGGGTTTTTTTTTTTTTTTTTTTGGCAATCTGGTCCGATTTTAGTCTAAATATCTGGGGCTCTACTTCTGGTGCACCCATGTGTTCCACTAGTTAGGCAGCTTGATCTCTTGCAGTCACATTGCTGCAATTTAAACCTACAGGAGTATAGGCACTTTAAAACCGTTGGGACCTACATATTCTCCTAAAATGACTGGCACTGTTGGCTAGAACACCCATGGTTCTTAGCTTTTTATATGAACAACTCTGGCACTACAACTGTGCTAAATTGTCCATTTGGTTTTAAGGTTCCAATCATGAACATACAATGTGACAGCAGATAAGAACATTCAGCCCATCTAGTCTGCCCAATATTTCAAAATACTTTTAATTAGTCCCTAGCCTTATCTTATAGCTAGGATAGCCTTATGCATGTTTAAACTCCCTCCCTCTACCACTTCAGCTGGAAGGCTATTCCATGTATCCTCTACCCTCAGTAAAGTAATACTTCCGGATATTTATAAACCTTTTGCCTCTCTAATTTAAGACTGTCCTCTTGTTGTGGTAGTTTGCTCCTTTTACTGTGATTCTTTTTTATGTATCAGTGCCCTCGATGGGGAAATCTGACTGTTTTAGAGTATCATGGAAGACTTAGACTGCATAGCATCCTGGAAATGAGGAAACAGACATTCAACTGCACCTAAGAGATCATTTAAAAAAAAAATTTGGGGTGGAACAGACTCAACTGACTTGAGTTTTTTGATCAAATATCATGTGTCGACTTATCTTCCCTCCATTGGGAAATGTCTTGTGTATATACCACACGGTTACATTGTCTCTCTATTCTACACCTGCAAATAGCTAATCTTAATAGAACAGGCAAATGCATGAGACATGCTACTTGTAATAGTAGGACTGGCATATGGACATACAAGGTTTAGTTAAAGGACCACTTCAGCTTAGTGAGGTGGTCTGGGTGCCAGGTCCTTCCAGGGTTAACATTTTATTATAAACATAGCAGTTTCAGAGAAACTGCTGTTTATAAATGGGTTAATCCAGCCTCTAGTGGCTCTCATTGACAGCCGCTAGAGGGCTTCCTCCCTTCTCACTGTGATTTTCAGTGAGAAGATGCCAGCATCCATAGGAAAACATTTGTGAATGCTTTCCTATGGACTGGCCGCACGCGTGCGCAGCTCCTGCCGCGCATTCAGCTGAAGAGGAGAGCTCCCCAACTGGCGCTGGAGAAAGAGGTAAGTTTAACCCCTCCCCACCCAGAGCCCGGCATGAGGGGGTCCCTGAGGGTGGAGCACCCTCAGGGCACTATAGTGCCAGGAAAACTAGTGTTTTCCTGGCACTATAGTGGTCCTTCAAGCCCTTAAAGGACCACTATAGTGCCAGGAAAACATACTCGTTTTCCTGGCACTATAGTGCCCTGAGGGTGCCCCCACCCTCAGGGACCCCTCCCGCCCGGCTCTGGAAGGGAAAGGGGTAACTTACCCTTTTCCAGCGCTGGCTCTCCTCCTCCTCTCCCCTCTCGCCCCCCGGCTGAATCCGCGCAAGGCGCGCATTCAGCCGATTACATAGGAAAGCATTCAATGCTTTCCTATGGACGCTGGCGTGCTTCTCACTGTGAAAATCACAGTGAGAAGCACGCAAGCGCCTCTAGTGGCTGTCAATGAGACAGCCACTAGAGGATTAGGGGGAAGGCTTAACCCATTCATAATTATAGCAGTTTCTCTGAAACTGCTATAATTATGAAAAAATGGGTTAACCCTAGCTGGACCTGGCACCCAGACCACTTCATTAAGCTGAAGTGGTCTGGGTGCCTAGAGGGGTCCTTTAAGGGCCAAACTTCTGGAATATAAGGGAATCGTGTCATGTGTCCTTAAGGGGTTAAACTTTGTTTTGCAAAAGTAAAATGTTAATAAACCCAAAGTAGTCAAATATTTTCATAACTCTGAAAAAATCAAATCCACATGACAAGGAAAAGCTCATACCTTTTGGGCTAGTTTCAAACTACAGTTGATGCCTGTTTCCTCTAGCCACCTCAAACACGCTCCTCTCTTTTCTTCAGAGTGAGACTGCCCATCACTCCTCCCTGTCTGGCCAGAGACACTCACTTCTTGTTGCGCCATCAGTCCAGCTGCACAAAAGCTCTTTTCCAAATTCACCCTTTCCTACCCCCCCCCGCCCGATTAAATTATGCTTGTTCTTTAGAGATTAATGATAGCCTCCAATACAGTATTGAAACGCATGAAGTGTAAAGATCAGACTGAGATCACCGCTACATTTGTCAACATTAAAAGGGCACTGTAGTCACCAGAATCGCTACAACTTAATTTTCTGGTGGCTATAGCCTGTCCTTGCAGGCTGTGCATTGTAAACGCTGCCTTTTCATAGCAAAAGCAGTGTTTACAATGCTGGCTAATAACCTCTAGTGGCAGTCACTCAAGTGGCCCTAGAGGTGCATCCTGTGTCAATGCTGCACTGGTGTACGTCGTGGAGTTTTGCTGCGTATGCATGATAGCCTCTTATGCTTTCCTATAGGGCCATGTGTTGCGGCCTGCATAGCAAACGACCGGGGCTGCACGTTAAGGGGCCCATCCTGTTAGGGCCACCCGATGGAGATGGATTTCCAGTGGGCCCCAGTCAGCGCTGCGGTGCTTTAACAGCGCGACCGGTCCCCTGTGATGATGAGACTGCCCATCACTCCTTCCAGCTATCAGAGCCTGTGCAGGAGGAAGGAGAGGGAGTCTGAGTGGGATCTCTGACTCCCTCCAGCCTGAGCCACCACTGGACCCCAGGGGAAGTCACCCTCCTGCACCCAAAAGGTAGGAAACAGGAGGGTGACAAACATTTTGTATGTGTGTCTGTCGGGGGGAGTGCCTATGGATTGTGTGTACGCCATTGATTCCTGATACTATAGTGTTCCTTTAACAACTTGACTTCAATGCCATCTTCCAGGTAGAGATGCTGATATCGTGCTGCCCTTTTCACCTAGTTTGCTGAATCAGCATCAGGGTGGCACCAGCAGAGCAAAGGTCATTGAAAGCTGTATCAGAGATTTGATTACTACCTTCACAGCGGCTATCCAACTAAGCCGTACACTGACACAGATTCTTGGTAACATTATATTCAGATAGAACATTGGAAGAGATATTTGTTGCGATTCATAAAATGCCCAGAATACCATCAGTAGAAACTGCGGGACTGGATTCAAGACTACCCTGCCAGAAAAGAGTGTTGAAGGGATTCCCAGAAAGGGAATTTGATTACTTCTGGTAGTGGTGATCCTGCAGATGTTCTTAGCTGTGTATAGAGAAGATTTCTGTCTATCCTGAAGCCTGTCCTACTTTTAGAGGAGAGAGGACTACCTATATGCAACGTCATGGATATTCCCATTAGGGAGTAGTCCGCAAACCCATCTCATAATGACTGGTTTAAACAGTAATGTTAAATAAAATTTAAATTTATTTATTTATTTATTTTAAATGCCTACCTTCTCTACTTTAGAAATAACAATGTGGTCTAAACACATTTCCTTAATGTGGCACTGTGATTATTCTCCCTGTCTCAGTGAAGAGTGTTTTTCTGGGAAATTTAGAGCTGTATTGCAATAGATTATTTTTTTTTCCTGTTGGAAGTATCCATTATAATCTGTAACGTTGATACTAACAGGGTTATTCAATAAAGTGAGAATTCAAAGAATTTCAAATTTAAATGGATACTGTAGTGCCAGGAATACAAAGCTGTATTCCTGGCACTACAGATCCCTCTGCCTCCCTCCTCCCTCGCCACCCCTTCCCCTCCCCCCCAGTAAATAAAACCCTTTACATACCTTATGCCAGCGTCGAGGTCCCTCGGCACTGGGCGAAGCTCCGCCCCCTCCTCTTTCTCGCAAAGAGCAGGGTCTAGTGCGTGGCGAAGGCCGAGTGCATTAGACTTCACCATAGAAAAGCATTAAATAATGCTTTCCTATGGGGAATAAAAATCTGACACTGAGGTCCTCATGCAGAGTGTGAGGAAGTCCAGTGTTAGATAACAGACCAAAAGTTTGTTAAGATTCCCGGAAGCCCCCTAGTGGCTGTCTGGTAGACAGCCACTGCGGGCAGACTTAGAGCTGTAATGTAAACATTGCCGTTCTCTGGAACGGCAATGTTTAACATTGCAGAACTAGGTGCAAAAGTGACACAGCACCCAGACCACTTCGATGAGCTGAAGTGGTCTGGGTGCCTACAGTGTCCCTTTAAGAGCAATGTAGTAATCTAGTTCGTGTTCATCTTCCCTAATTCCCTGGGTTTTGTAACATTATCTTGATTTATATTCTCCATCCTCTTTGGCTTTTCTATTAACAACTCTCTGTCTCTTACTTGCCACTGTGTGCAGATATTAGGCCTTTGGGGACTACAGTGGGACTACAAAGCACAAGATGTGCATACTCATGCTGTGAGTCTCCAGTTCTCATGGGAATCCTATGTACGCGAGATCTGCAATATATTGAAAAGAAACCAAAAAAAAAAACACTGACAAATAGTTATAGAAATGAATTGCTAGGGTGAAATGGTATGCTAGCTCCACCTACTGCTTGAAAAATGTAAAGACGTAAAATAGTTTTATGACCAAAGTTGAAGAATTGCACGGTGCAGATGTCACCAGATTTATGAATTATATGGAGCTTTGTGCCCAGACCTGTAAACTAACACACACAGAGGAAAGCAGGCACAATGCCATACATAGGCTGGCTATTTAGTTCAGAGATCTCCACATCTGACCAATGAGCAGCCAGGCAGGCTACCTAAGCCACCCCCTCTGACCGTCCGTGTGAGTTAATTAAGAACGGCCAATTGTCAACTTGGCCGTTCCTAATGCAACGTTTTATTTTCCTGTGTTGACTAAAAGCATAATCCCCACGTAACAGTATAGTAAATGAGAGAAACCTGCGCACTACCCCAAATCCCTATGCATATTTATACAAATAGAGGTTTTTATAAATATGCATAGGGATTTGGGGTGGTGTGCAGGTAACATTTTTTTTTTCTGTATGTTTTGGGGCTGATGTGTGTTATGGTCTTATTTTTGTATTTGCTTTTGTATCACACAGCCATGTTACAATGCTGCCGCCCAGCCCACATGTTCCCTATCAAGTGTGTAGGGGTTTAGAAAAATACCCCTTTCTGTCTCAAGGCTACTGAAAATCACCTATCTTGGCAAACAAATATGAGGATTCAGTTACACCATATGGCCGTATTGTGTTAAGCCCACCACTAGCCATTACCACCATTACCCCAAAATCAGTGGGCTTGACACAATTTGGCTATATAGCGTAACTGATTCCCCTTGGATTTAAATTGTTTTTGGGTTTTTTTTTGTGTGTGTGCCCTGCTCCTTAACCTCTTAAGGATGGTGGGCATTCTATGCCGTCCTTGAGGGGCTGGCTCTAAACGCCAGTGGGCAGCATAAACGTCCTCGCCGTTCTTGCCGCCCACGTGGCCACCGCCATTCGCCTGTTGCAGATCGCGGTCGGGCAAATGACCGCGATCTGCAACATCTGATCACAGTGACAGCCAGGCACTGCAATCAGTGTTACTATGTGTCAGCTAATTCATGAATTGGCTGATACACGTGGCCGCCGCCATTACCCCTTTGCAGATCGCGGTCAGGGGGCATGCCTGGCAACAATGACCGCAATCTGCAGCATGTGATCGCAGTGACAGCCAGTAACTGCGATCACTGTTGCAATGTGTCATCCAATAATTTTAAATCACTGGCTGACACATTGTCTCTGCTCCTCTCCTCATCTCACTTCGATCTGAGAGAGAGACAGGCAGAGAGATCGTTGCTGATCCTGTGGAAAAAAGTTTGATAACTTTTTAAAAGTTAAAAAAGTGATTTTTTTTAAATAACCCTTTCAGTGCTGATCACAGCTTAACACTGTGATCAGCCTGATTAGGGCTTTTAGTACTTTTGTACTATATTAATTTTTTTTTGGGGGGGAGAGGGTGGAAATCAAAAAAAATAATAATTTTTACCCTTTGTGTCAGTTGCATCAGCCCAAATCTCCCTTAACCCCTTACCTGCTGCCGTGATCACTGTACAGTATATCTGCTGTACAGTACTGTATCAGTGATCACTGTGATCAGAGGGCTCTCTGATCAGGCTGACCTTTTTTGGGGTTATTTTTATTAAAAACAATAAATAAATACAATAACCCTTTCAGTACTGATCACAGCTGCCTAAACTGTGATCAGTACATTTATTTTATTTTTTATGAGTTTTTGAGGTTGGGTAGTTGGTGTTAGGCAGGTAGGTAATAGGTAATTATCCCCTTAGTTTTTTATTAGTTAATTGATTTGTCCCCCTAGAATGGCACGTCGCTACTCAGCAGAGGAGGTGTATGCCATTCTGGCTGGCAGTGATAGTGACACTCTGCAAGACAGTGACACTATCACTGCCTCTGACATTGAGCCTCTGAGTGAGACCTCAAGGGATGGTGCCCCACCACCACCCACAAGAGGACGCTCAGAATGCCCAATACCAGACGGAGACAGGGTGCCCCCAAACATGATGGCCCCAGTAATACTGCCGTTCACTGTTACACTTGGCATCACTGTAACACTGTAACCCAGGCTGCCATACGGTCTCAGATATTGGCGAGATAGGCCCAGAAAATCAGTTTACAAAATGTCAATGTGTAAAACAAAAATGGACAAGCCGTATATTTGACCCTGTAATTTTCTAAAACCTATATATGGGGGGTACCGTTGTGCTCGTGAGACATCACTGAACAAAACTAGGAGTGTTTCAGAGCAGTAACATATTTAATGACAATAATATTATCAGTGAAAGTACAGTTTTTTATGTGAAAAATGTAAAATAAAAATCTGAACACTAACTTTGGCTAGGGTTTGTGCCCAAGTGGCTACTAAAAAAGACTGAGCATACCCCATTTTAAATACCCTGGGATGTCTACTTTTTCTAATGGTATGCCATGATGGGGATAATTTTCATTTCTGGGCTGCCATACGGTCTCAAATGCAACCTAGGCACAGCAAACTAATCTGACAAATTTCTATGCAGAAACAAAATGAATGGACAAGCTGTATATTTGACCCTGTAACTTTCCAAAACCCCATAAAACCTGTACATGGGGGTTACTGTTTTACTCGTGATACATTTATGAATACAAATATGTATGTTTTATTGTAGTAAAACTGAACAGTATTCTGACATTAACAGTTAAATTGCCAAGCAGAAATTGAAAAATAAAATTTAATTTTTCAAACTTTTTTAGATTTTATTCATATAAAATGGAGTTCCATGTATGAATGTTTGATATGAAATGATATATAATATGTGTGGGTGCCCCTAGTATGAAAGTGGTAAATTATTGTTGAACAGACATAGAGTCAAATTCTGGGGTTATTTACATTTTGTTTTGATCACAACTTATAAATTTGGCTTAGTCTTTAAGGGGTTAATATGCATCTTGTAAACATTTTGCTCTTTACACCAACATCACTACTGAATAAGGTATGATGACGAGATTCCCTTTAGGTTAAGCACCCATCCACTACAGGTGCCCCTTTGGAGGTAGCCCAATGAAGCATAAATTTGAGGAGAGACTTTGGAAGCTGTTTAAGCAGTATTGCAGTTAGCATGTTAATCTCCCATGAGCAAATTAGTGTAGAAACCGATATTGGGACACTTTAACCTAGTGGTGGGCTCAACACAATATGGGCATATGGTGAAACTGAATCCCTGTACGTTTGCTAAGAGAGGTGATTTTCAGTAGCCTTGTAAAATATAAAAGTACATTTTTTGTGTGTGCGCTGCTCCTTAACCTATATTTTAAAATAGGCAAAGACCCCAGAACGTGACAGAGCTGCTCTAAATTACAGACTCGTAGAAACACTGACATACAAACATAATGATACTGCACACAAACATACTGACACATACAAACACATCGCACAAAGTCAAATAGAAGTGCCTGTTACTGAGTTACTGTTTTATGTAAAAATGTTTTCACTGTTATCTATAGTGGGTGATTGGACACTGGTGGGCATCAGTCCTACGAGTCGCACAGAGCGCCTGAATTCCCAATATCATCCCTGTTGGAGCCTCATGGAGTAGAAGCAATAATAATCATTGTAAATGTCTTAAATTTCCATTGTTAGTCCAGTCAATAATCGACGCACCGTGTATTTTGATGGGGCTAATGTTGCACATCTCTCTCCATTACTTACTTTTCTTATTTTCACAAAATGTCTTATAGTGAAGCTGCATTGTTCCGAAGTCTACTTTCACACTTGCAATGATTCACTATCAATATGCACTAAGTTTAAACATGTACACTGTTGATATGACTCAAATTGTTCTTCTTACATTGTATATCTCATATGATTCAATAAAAAAGAGATTGACAAAAAAACAACTCAACACCTTTAAAGCTTTGACACTGTTGGTAGAAAATGCCAGGAAAAAATAGGAAGCTGCTCCTGTCCAGGAACAAAATTAAATCTTTTTCTTTGCTGGCAGGCAATTGCATCTTAGTGGCCCCGAAACTGGGCTATTAATAGCCCACCACCAATGTGTGTATGTAGGAAAGATAGAGCAGCCAGGAAAATGGAACATCCTCGGCTACTACAAAGCCTCTTAGAATGTAGGTTTGTCAATCGCATACACAGGCCAATCACTGATAAAGGGGTATCAGAATGGAAACACTTATTGCAAATTTCCCTTATTTTCTTAAAAAAAAAAAGAGGAAATAATGCCGTTTAGTGATGATAATAAGTTCCAAACTTTGAAAGCTACTGTAATAGGTTTTCTGATACATTAGACCAGAAATTATTAATCTAACGTGGCACAGAGTGAGTAAATGCCTGCTAATGGATTTCATCAAAGCTGTCAATGAAATTTAAAGGGAAACTATAGTGTCAGGAAAACAAACTTGCTCTCCTGGCACTATAGCTTCCCACTCTGTCACAGCCCCCCACTCCAACACCCTGTAGTGCAAAAGAAGTTAAAAACCCTTCTGTCATTTACCTGGGTCCATCGGCGCTGCCTCTGGTCCACCTTCTCTCCTCCCCCGCCTACATCAGCCGGCGGGGGATACCTAATGCTTTCCTATGGGGATTCCAGTGCATAGCATGAGGATGTCCAAAAGTCGCCTAACGATCCTGAAGTCCGTCTAGTGCAATTAAAAACTGCAATAATTACCTTTGCAGCTTAAGCGTGCTGGGTCCGTGCACCCAGACCACTTTAATGAGCTGAAAATGGTCTGCGTGCCCATAGTGTCCCTTTAAGTAATATATTGTTTTTTATTTTTTTTCATGTGCTGTATTTCTTATTAACTTCTCTGAAAATTATATTAATGAATAAAATATTAAAAATCCCCCATAACTTGTTCATGATATGCTCTGTTTTCTTTTCTGTTAAATTAATATAACAATTGTTTTAGAAAATGACCTCGCAATCCAGTTCAGACAGGCAAAGCCAGGGCAAACATTGCCGATGAGCTTGTGTAATAGAAACATTGTATTAATTATCCTTATCTCTGTATGCGTTCTTTAAATATGGTTAAGCGCTGAGGAATACGTTGGTGCTATAAAATACCAATAATAATAATAATAATAATAATAATAATAATGTGCTGACTGCCAGGTGCAAAACACAGAGTTTGTAGCAATGATTGACAGGGAGCTAGGCTGGAGATACCTAGTGGCAGAATAAAGAGGTGTGAATCTACATTTTACTGTTATTTTTCATACATCACAAATACATATTTGTTAAATATTGGATTAAATAAACACGATATTGAAAATCCTGGGAAGAACTGTTTACGGATCAACCTTGTCTTTTCCTACACTGTTTTTTGCTGCCCTGACAAAACACTGGTAACCAGACTCTGCATATACAGCATTTAATTTATTACAATATATCCACTATTCCCTCTGCTAATTTTACAATAAATAAATAAAAAAGACCCTGACAACTTAGTCCTGGCCTAGTCCCGTCAAAACAATCCCGAAAAGCCACTGACTGCTCATGCCGTGTCTCTCCTCCTTCTCCCATCCGAATTTTCAGTCTTTTGCAGTATTATATTTAGACAATTATCCAATCATACATCATAGTTATTTTTTCAATAGAGAAAATGTGGAACTGCACTCAGACCCTTCGTTCCAAGGTATCCCTGGGTGCTAACCAGATCAGTGCCAGTACCAGGAGACCAAATATGTAATTGAAATATAGAAAGTAATCCAGGCACTCCAGAGTATCCAAAATAAGGCAATTTATTCAACCCACAATCCAAAAAACAACGTTTCGACCCTAAGGTCTTTGTCAAGCTGACAACAAGACCTTAGGGTCGAAACGTTGTTTTTTGGATCGTGGGTTGAATAAATTGCCTTATTTTGGATACTCTGGAGTGCCTGGATTACTTTCTATATTTCAGTTATTTTTTCAAGTCTGATTTGTTGGGCATTTAAAGTGAATTTTCAATTTTAGGTCAAAATAGTTCAGCTGAAAACATAGCTATGAAAATGTTTACAATTAAACTATTTTGACCTAACATGTGAAGTTCCTTTTCAATTCCCACTTTGGGAAATAACTGTCAGAAAAGAAATAAATGCCTGTTTTTGACTGTCTTACACTGAAATCCAAAATAAAGTATTGACTTTGCCAGTAAGTCTACAATTTATGGAGTGATTGAATCCAATCTCGTTATTAAACATAAAGCATGATTGTAGACTTTTAATATGAATCATGCTTAATTATATACCACTCTCCCTCCCTATCATACGAAACATTCCAAACAAGGCTTATCCAAACCAGCCAATCAAACTCTTTGCTGTTTCAACTGAGCTATTCATACTTACTCCAGTAAACTACCACAACTAGGTACAAAGTCACAGCATACAGTGCTCCCTGAACAGCAGGAATTCTGGCTAATGAGGAAAACTCAAAGTAAATCACATCCGGCTTTGCACCACATTAGTAGAATCACTTTCTTTTAATGTTTCCATGATTTTTAAATGCACGCTCCAAATAGATTTCCGATAGAGACAAAAGCACCGAATCAACCCTTCCTATAATTAAAACCACTCATTTACTTTATTATTTAATGATATATTGTATTTACTATTATTTAAACTTGGGACTTGAAACTGTGAATTATTTGGATGATTCAGAACTTTTTTACAGTGGAACCTCGAAGCTCAAACTTAATCCGTTCCAGAAGGCTGTTCGAGTTCCGATTCGTTCGAGAACCGGTTTCTCATAGGAATCAATGTAAATTTGATTAATCCGTTCCAGACCCCCCGAAATTACAGCATTTTAACACAAATCTTGACTGTTTCATAATGCCTTACATGCATAAAATCATATAGAAATAAAAAAAAAATAACACAATGTACAGTAAATGAAATGAAAATGTCACTTCACTTTACCTGTAATGATGAGAGTTGATGGCGTGAGTGGAAAGGAGAAAGGCTATCATTGTTTGGATGGGGAGTCACCTTCCGTAATTACGATAGGTACTAACTGTTCTGGCGTTCCTTCCCTTGCTCGTTTTACACCACTGACACCTGGTTGAGGCTCACTGGACCTCTTCTTCACAAAAAATTTGTCTATTGAGACTTGCTGTTGCCTATGTTTTAAAATGTGTCTGAAGTGAGACATAGCATTATCATTGAACATGTTTGTGGCATGACTTACAGCAGCTTTATCATGGTGATATTGTTCAACAAAATATTGCACTTCAACCCACTTCACACACATTTCTTTGATCAATGCACTATGAAGATTTTCCTCTAGAGACAATTCATCAGATGCCCTCTTTTGCTGCTCCCTCTGAAGGTCTTGGAGTTCTTCTGTGGTGAGTTCGTTCTGGTGATCCTCCACTAACTCCTCCACATCTTCATCATTCACCTCCAAGCCCATTGATCTCCCTAGAGACACAATTTCCTAAACAAGAAGAGCATCCTGTTCAAACCCCTGATAGACTGTTTCAGGGAGAGCCTCTGGCCACAATTTCCTCCAGGCTGAGTTCACAGTCCTATAAGACACATCCCCCCAAGCTTTATCTATGAGGTGTAAACAATGTAGGATATTAAAATGATTTTCTTTACTCTATTTGAAGACTGAATGCAACTGCATTTCAAGACTGAATTGAACTCTATTTGAAGACTGAATGGAGCTGTGCTAACTGAATGGAGTTCTTCTGACTGGATGGACCTCTGCTGACTGGATGGAGCTCTGCTGACTGAATGTCGCTTTTGCTGGCAGAATGGAGCTCTATTTGAAGACTGAATGAAGCTGTTTGCTGCTAGAATGGAGCTTTTGCTGGCAGAATGGAGCTGTGCTGCTGACAGGATGGAATGGTGATGCGCTATACTAACGAGGTACCAACGGGTTTACCAACAAGATTACCATAGAGGTGAATGCTGCGTAACAACGTGATGTGTTCGGGTACCGAGGATCAATCGCGTACCGAGACATTTTTCACTCAAAATTTTTGTTTGAATACCGAATTGGTCGTGAACAGGAACTTTCAAGTTCCGAGGTTCCACTGTATTTGACTGGTGCAGCGGACAAACATTAACAATCTAATCATAACAATTACTACTCCATCACTCTGAATCTCAATGTTAAGAATGGATTATATGCAATATAATATAAATAAAGCCATATTAAAACATAGTAATGTGTGTTAGTTTGTAATCTGTCAGATTTTACTAAGTTAAAAAAATGTCAAATTTTTTTTCTTACAATCCTCTGTACTGAAAAGAGAGTGATAAAACAAAATATATGACAGGGCATTGTGTAAGGTCCAAGGCATGCTTAGTGGACAGCACAAAGCAACGTTTCGGCTCAAAAGAGAGCCTTTTTAAAACTTTGTATTGTCCAATAAGTCTGCTATGGATGTTATACATGTGCCCAGTCCTATTATTTGTTTTATTGCTTTTGTGAGCGTGGTCATCTCTGATCGGGAGGCACTGCGGTGGCCCCTATAACATGTGCCATTCCATATATTTATCTATACTATTGATAGGAAGTGATGGCATTTCTCTTTTAAGAGATTAGATGACTGGCTATGGAAAATATGCATTGCATGGCTTCCCGGAAATCAGTGCTAACCTGTACAAGTTAACTTAAGTTATGTCTATAAAGGTGTCAGTAAAATGGTGAAGGAGCCTGGTGTACATACACTCTACACTCACATGCAGCCTTTACAGACAGTCACTTGGGCCTATACATATATAAAGCTAGTGGGCAGAAATGTCCACTAATGGCCTCCTGCCAGACAAAGGAGCTGGGGGGGGGGGAAAGGTACACAGAAAGGGACAAGGGGGCGAAAGACACACAAAAGGGCTGAGGGGAAGAAAGAGACAGACAAAGGGGCTGGGAGAAGTAAAATATGCACAAGGGGGATTTTAAGAGACACACAAGGGATAAAATACAGCAAAGGGGACACACAAAGGGGAAAAGAGGGGCAAGACATTAGTAAATGGCATATAAAACACTAAGGTAAGGTAGTCAAAAAGGGGGCTACAAGACACACAGGTGAAGATACTTTTTTGGGGGCGGGAGGGGGCGACAAAATGCATCTTTGCCTGTGTAGTCAAAAATCTTTGCACCAGCCCCTGTACAGGGTTATTCACTAAAGTGAGAATTGCTGAAAATTCTAAATAAATTCAAAGTGAATTTCAAATTGAAGGACTTCCAACCATTCGTGATTTGCAGGGTCATTTACTAAAGAGAGAACTGTTGGAGATTCAAAGTGAATTTCAAATGCAAGACCAAATTAGCACACCTGGAAGCATAGCTGATTGGGATAATTCTTCCAGTTTGTCCATTGTAACTCTGTAAGAGACATTGCTTATGCTTTCATTCTGCAAGGTGAATGCAAGAAACATATATATAATGGCACGTCTTAGTATCAGCCTGGATTACCTACTCACAATTGCTCCCATGACCACTTTATTCCAGATATAAATGTTGTTAAAGAACCTCCAGGAACATGTCCGTGCTGCAGACATTGAGTGAAAGTGCCCCCATGAGAATCATTTTGGGTTGAGAAATGGCTTTGCTACATCCAGCAGACTGCTAATCAACGTTCTTATTATGCATGAAATATGTGCCTAATTGAAGTTTTGATTGGTTAAAAATACAATTACTATGTGTAATTGAAGAAAATGTAAAGATAACACTATTATAGAGTATATATATATATATGTATATATATATATATACATATATATTCTTCTTCTCGCTACTCTTTTGCAAACTTCCTAAAGTCATTACTTGCTGTAATTCACATTTAGATGACCAAATATTGATTGTTCTTCAACAGATGTTACAAAGTGTCAACAACAATTAGGAATTCAGCTTACATTTCCTGGTGTGTCCCTTTAATTGGGAATGTTGCACCAGCTGACGCTGGGCTATTTACCATTATACAGCAGAACTCACACTATGACGTAGTCTTCAGTCAATGCCTATGTGTGCCCCATAAGAGTACCCATAACCCGGCCCTTTGCTTGGCATATTGCTATTGGTAGAATTTCACTTTCGTCCACTTTTTTTTTCAATTTTGTCCAAAGTTTGGACGCCATTCATTGGATGGGCATGTAAGCCAACGCATTCAGCCAATAATTGTTGGCCAAAATTGATGCGGGTGCTTAGAGTGACTCTTTAAGGTGAAGGCTCACGATGAATGTTGTACCTTAGGCTAGCCTATCTTGATTTTAATCCTATTTGCTGTGCTTCTTTCTTTGAAGTTATCGTGGGGAATTAGGAATCCCTTTTAATTTTTTATCTTATAAAAGAGATTTCATTAGTTTCACTGCAGAACCAAATCAAATTATGCATGTTTTCTAATAGGATTCAGCAGTCATTTTATTTCATTATGTTGGTTAGAGTTATACATTGTGCTATACGCAGCTCTAGAAACTTGCGGGGAGTAATATAGCCTCACATTGTGTCACAGTGATTTTTAAAAGGTACACGTCCTAGCATACTTTATCTTGACTCATAAAGCATATATATTTCTCTGTTAAGATTATTACTATTACAAATAGGTGAAAACTCCTGTTTCTATTTTACAGAAATTTTGCATCTGTAGTATGTAATTTTGTTTTCATTTACACCATTTCAATGAAACTTTAGTAACAGAATTGTTCCCTGAGTGACTCTTGTGGAGGAAAAAAAAACTATTGTTTATAAGCGTCAATTTATAGGTTGTTTAAAATGCCAAGGTGGAGGCATCATCAGCCACCTTTTTCCCATCATTCCCTATTTCACTTTCCTGAATCCCTGATTTCTAAATACCATTACTATTATTTCACTATTTCGACTAATAGGAATAATTTGTGTGCACCTGCCTTTCATTAGACAAAATACAGAGGCAATTTAATGCTTTAAATGGTTTAAATGTTTTATTGAAAATGAACACAATAATTATCACAACTGTAAGTCAAAGGCATAGGTAATAAAATGGTAAAGAGTAAAAAAGGTTAGTCACTGTAAATATATGTTAAGTTGGACAGTCTCAAATGAGTAATGTTGCTCATTAAATTACTACATAATTAAAACATTAAGAAGAAGAACCCGTTTGCAATTGAAAAAAAAAGGCAATTTACTGATCTTTCAGCCTCACTGCGCCGCCACTCTGTCTAACTGGCTGAGATCATCAAGATTGATAATTTCAGCCAATCCAATGCTTCCCTATAGGGCCAATCCAATGTTCTCTTTGAGCAGCCTTTGATTGAGAATGGAGTCTATCTTGGTTCTCACAGGTGAAGACCCTAGTGGCTGTAAGTATGACCACCACTAGAGGTGTGTTAACGCTGCAACCATAGCATTGCTGTATCTACTATACAGCAATGCTGTAGATTGCAGGCTTAAAATTAAAGGGTCACTGCACTCAGACCATTTAAGTGAGATGAAGTGGTCTGGCAGCCTTTTGTGGTCCTTTAAGGGATTTCTACTGATATACAATTAAACGTTTTCTCATTGCAACTTGATTTTGACTGACATTACTAATAGAGATTCTATATTATATTTCAGACATTGATGCTAAAGTACTGCAACCAATCCCCTTCCCAGCAGTGTATTCTTCCATTAAACTATTTTATTTTTCCTAAATTTAGCTCTTTAACTGAAGATTTATAGCTTTGTAAATTACCAAAAAAGACAACACTGCATGTCAATGTTTACGATAAGCAAACAAGGACAGACAGTATGCTGTATTCACAGCATCTGGGGCAAAGTGTTAAATGTGGAACATTTACCCCAAAACTGTTTGTTGATTGCTCAGATTGCAGCACTTTGATCCAGAATAGTTCAAATAATTTTCTGTAAAGGAAATATGGTCCGGTAAGGGTTATGTATAAAAAGACAAGACGGACACAATTCTTAAAGTTGCACAATCACCATGGAAACAAACTGAATGGTCTTGCTGATTACTCCAATTTCAGGATCATTATCGTACCGCACGTCCCTCGTTCTCTTTAAAACTAGCTCACAAACTGACACCTTGACATTCTCCTGTAGAATTTATCGGTACTATCTTGAAGTCAGAAAAAAGTCAAAGTATAATGATTCCAATTCCATGCTTCTTGGTAATAATAAGATTCTTTTGCAGGAATTCAGTATTTTGTCTTCACCAAACATACTGTTCATTCTTCCATCCACCAGGTAGTTCATCCAGGTGATTTTTGGTAACAATGAGAGAGATGATACAAGCAGTGGCTTCCTTATTTGTATCCTTCTATACACAGCACTCTTTTTCTGTTGTTTTATTTTGGTGGAATCAAGGACATTAGCATCTGCTATTGTGTGAGATGCCTTCAAATTCTACACCGTTTTCATTAGGTTCTTCATGGCCTCTCAAAACATTGTGCTCATTGATTTTAAAGATTTTAGTTTAATAGCTCTACTATGGGTTACAGTCAGGGTTCTGTACCCTGGTAACCGTTATGCCTCAGTCTTTGGCAACAGACAATTCAAATAATCAATGCTTGTCACAGGAAGACAGCATGCGACAAAGCCTCCTATCTACCTATTCACTGATAAAGGAAGGTGTGATATGCACTCTCCAGCCATACAGACACAATATCTCAGCAAAAACAAGAAGAGAATTTTGTGTGATCCCTCCACTACATAAATAGTAAATTGCATAATATTAATAAAAAATATTTTTCTCTTTATGGTGACAAAGTAAATTTGGAACTAAACATAGGTTTTTTTTTTACAGGCTTAAAGGGAATCTCCAGTGCCAGGAAAACAAATCTGTTTCCTGGAACTGCAAAATCCTGCCACCTCCTTTTTAGGGGAGCTAACGGAAGGAGTCTGCAAACCTCCCTGGCTGTTTGATTGTCAGCCAGGGGGTGTTGCCTAGCATATTTATAAAAGTGCTGATTTCTCTTTAAAATCAGCACTTTTATAAACTTGGGTTAAACTAGTCTACTCCTCACCCATAAAGCATTTGGGGTGTGGATTGGACCTTTAAGAGTGCCCTAGCAGTTCTGGTGTTCTGAGTCATCAAGAAATGCCGGGGAACTGCAAGGGTTCCCTTAATGCCTTACTATTAGTACAGACCACAACACTTCCTCTTTGGAGTGAGAGAGTGCAGGGCCATAGAGGAGGGCTCACTCAGAGCCACACAAATTATCTCTATTTACTAATAGACCTTAA